AGTTATTAGGTACCTAGGGACTCAATGAGTGACCCAAATAAATGGTTGGGAAACCCTGAGAAAGCCCAGGGCTGATAACAGATTTGCAGCTGGACATTCAAAGCCCTTGGCTTGGGATTGCAGGATTTCACCTGATATCACGCCCCTGATTGGCTCACCCACTTTTCTCTCCTGTTTTCTTCCCTTACCGTTTCTCTTGGAACCATTTCTATAACACATCATTTAACTTGGAGCCAGTCCCTGGAGGAATATGTGCTCACACATGTCTTTTTCTGGGAGAGCGCAAACCAAAATGTGCACCTGCCTAGAGTTGGGCAATGTTCACCTGGGAACTGAAGCCTACTCTCCATCTGTTAGCTGAATCAACATCTCAAATGGGTATTGCATCTGCCTGTAGGCATCTGCCCCACATACAGAAAAGGGGCCCTGGATTTGTTAACAATAGAAAGTTGGCTGTCTCATCACAGGAATCAGGTGTGAGAGATGTATCTAAACTCTTTGCTTTGATATCACAGACAGCAAGGTGACCAAGTGGCTAGGTTTCCCAAAGCTTCTGGAGGAGTCTTGTATATTCTACCTCAAATGATGTCTGAGGAAATCATCCTTGGACACAAAAGATCTTGGGACCTGGTACCAGAGTGGAATGTCCTTACCTTCAATGGGATGAGATACTAAAACTGAAGTCTCTCACTCTTGCAGGCATTATAGCAGCTACTTTAGAGTAAAGGTGGAGTTGGCACACAGTATGACCTTCGGGGCCCTCATGGGAAGACTCCCAGGGCAAGCCATACAAAAAACATCAAAAATGCCCATCTTCTCATTGGAAGATACAGAAATCAGCATAGTTGGGAAACTGCATGAGTAAATGCATCTTGAGCTATTTTCTTTTCATCTTTTATTAAGACACTAGGATTTTCATGTTAAAATGTCCCTCCTCCAAACAACCCTGAATAGTGTATTGAAACATTCTTCTCTGGGGCTGGGGATATAACTTTGGAGCAGATTGTTCTCATTTAGGTATGCATTTATCATTACCAGAGAAACGAAAGGAGTATGTTCTTGATAGATGTATTTCTAAGAGAATGGTGAGAATAAAGTGGCTGGAGGAAACAGAAACAATGCACCTGCTCCTGTTTCTCTCCTCTGCCACTTCTCTGTGTACCACTGTGCTCCTCTCTCTCCCTTGGCTGTGAGGAGGAGCTGGATGCACAGGCAGGCAGATTCATCTGACAAAAAGGCTTATGGCTTTCTGGTGACACTTGCAGTTTATATCTGAATGGATAAGCTGCAGATGCGGTGGGCCTGTGGGAACTGCTGAATCTGCTTCGGCACAGTAATTCCAGTCATATGTGTACCATATGTTGACTCCACAGCTTAACCTCCAAAGTGCCCTTATTCTCTCCCTCTTTGTGATTTCATACAAGGTGGGATACAAACTAAGCAGTTCAGGCTACCAACTTTAAAAACTGCTCAGGTGGCCCTTTGTGAATTATGTTGGTTTGGGGGGAAAGAACATTTTTTAAAAGGAACTGAGCTGTGAAGGAGGTCTGAGCTGCTTTTGCTGAATTGACACTCATAGATCACGGAGCCTCTCAAGTTTATCTTTATCCCTTCAACCTGATTATTACAGATCTGCTTGTCAATTCAACCAAACTTAACAGCCAGATAAGAGATGATGAGACTAAGCCTGTGTAGATGCTATGCTTTCTCCCAACAGCCTTGAACAATCAAATGTCCCAAATTAAGCCATCACCTTTTTTCTTGGCTCATCACAGCTATACTCTCATGACAGTTGTGGGCAGGTACATGAAACCAGCCCTGGGTTCCTCATGATCTAGCCCATCACTGAAAAGTCAAGGATACAGAACCAACAGAATCAACTAACCTGGACTCATAGGGGTTCACAGAGACTTAACTGACAACCAGGGAGCCTGCATGGGACTGACCTAGGGGCCCTCTGTAATTATGTTACAATTGTGTAAGTTGGTCTTCTTATGAGACTCCTAACAGTGGGAGCCAGGGCTGTCTCTGACTCTGTTGCCTACCTTTCTGACCTTTTCCTTGTACCAGGTTGCTTTGTCTAGCCTTAATAGACAAGGAAGTACTTAGTCTCACTGCAACTCAATATATCATGGTTGGCGGTATCCATCCTTTTCTGAAGAGAAACAGGAGGAGGAGGAGTGGATGGGGGAGGAAAGAAGGGAGGTGGGGGAGGGACTTGGAGGAGAAGAGGGAATGGAAACTGCCATCAGTATGTAAAAACGTAAATAAATGAGAGAGAGAGAGAGAGAGAGAGAGAGAGAGAGAGAGAGAGAGAGATTGTAGAAGGAAGGTCCTACTGCTGAGAATCTCCAAAAGCTTTGGGGTTTCAAATGACTAACCAAGGTTATTGAAGGGATCCAATGTAGAATAAGAAGGTTAGCTAAGAAACCAAAGCAAAGGTCTCATGTTGGGAACACTGTTAAAAACACAAGAGGTAAGGAACAGATTAGATCTTAGGAGAAAGCAGGGACCCTTTCAATTCTTAGGAGTGTCTGTTGGTCACTGATCAGGAGGATATGGGGGGCTGAATAGAAAGTCCAGTCACCTAATTCAGTGTGCAACATCGTTATTAAGTTTAGCTGATAAACATAAGGGTTTTCATTCAAGAAAGACTCCATATATAAGGATGGAGTGAGTTTAAATCACACTTATGCATAGACTGTCTTCAGATGGCCTTATAGACATAGAAGGCTCTCATACATGCACAGTCATGTGGAAATCTTAAGCCACTATGCATGCTCAGAGGTCATTCTTTTGGATCCCAAATACTCACCTGCATTTATATGTGTGTTGTATTATTTTTTATTGATTAAGTCATTGATCTGCATGTGCATAATAGGTGATGGGGGTGTCAGAGGACAACTTCCAGGAGTCAGTTTTCCCCTTCCATCTTTACATGGGTTCCAAAGCTCAAACTCAAGTCAGCAGGCATGCTGTCAAGTGCTCTAGCACCCTGAGCTATCTCACAAGCTCTGGACATTACTTTCATTTAGAGTGAGACACTCAGGTGCTGCAGCCCCTCATTTGGATGTTGTGATGCTCAGATGCAGTGTGTGCTTCCTGTACCAATGGCAACATTCATTCCTGTCACTCATAAGCACTCTGGGCTATCTCTCCTTCAGAGGTGCACAAAAGACAACAGTCATGCTTTTGTCCACCCAAACTTCTTATTCATCCAAATGTGTCATGCACTCACATGCATTCCTTCCTTATTTGCATGAGGAAGCATCCTTATGTTCAGAGAAAATCAAGGAATGTCTGACCCATCAATGATGCTACATGTTCTCTAGAGGAGATCCTTCACAACCTTCATTCAACTTAATGAAATAGTCCTGGCTTTGTGTCTTACAAATTATGTTTTGTAATCTGGTGTCCTTGGATGGATAATCTAAGCAGAGGGTTGAAGCCTACGCTAATCTGTTTACATAAAGCATGTGCTATGTTAAGTTTAAACAATGAGCACAATCTATAATCACCTCATTAATTCACATAAATGTTTTCATACTCTTTGGACATTTGGTCTTCTGCCTTAGACCATGCATGTCAGAATGCAATAGAATCCTTCTAAAAGGTGTCTGCTCAAGAGAAGGACACACTGAACATTTCAAGGATAAGGGCTTTTTACCCAATTCACAAACTTTTGAGTAACTTCCACAAAGAGAATCTACATACTTGGCATATGGTTGTAATTCAATAAAGGCTGTCATCTCTATGCACACACTGGCACCTCCTTATAGTCTTATAGTCAAAGGGGATGATATGAAATTACTTGGCAGACTCTTCTGGGAATTACTGTTTACCCTGATTAGAATTTCTGTATCCATCCAGATTTTGGCTTCATGCTGGCTTTCAACATTAATTCAATCCACTTTGATTCATTTCAACAAATGTTCATTGATCATTTAGAGTCACACTTGTTCCTGGGCACTGTGTGCATGTGTGTGATGAGGAAGAAGATAGAGTGATTCAGAGATAACTAAGACACACTTTTATCAAGGATGCAATAGAGTCAGCAAGTCACATGTCCCATCTTATGTTTTTGCAGAATCAACTGGACAGTGATGAGTGAGTTGGGAATAACTCATTCTGGACAGATCTAGACAGGCTTCATGGAGTAAATATAAGAAAGACATCAGTATTATTGGAAATCTTTTATAGGCAGAGGTGGTTAGCATTGGTGGGTGTTTCAAATAGAGGAAGGACTAGCTAGTGGTGGAGATGGCCAGTCATAGGATACTTATATAGTAGCTGGGTGTCTGGAGCTGTTGGGATTCATGGGCATCATGAGATGATTGCCTGAAAGGAAAGCAGAAACTAAGCATAGAAGACTTCAGCTGCCAGTGTGAAGAATTTAGGATGTAAAATTTGGACAAAAGAGAAACTGTGGAAGTGCTTGAAGAGAGATGGTATCATATGATTGGAAGCAAAGGGGATAGACAGACAGCATGATCAAATAAATTGAGGGCAGAAAAGCCCAGCTGATGTGGGAAAGTGCCTGGCCTAAGCATCAGCAATGGGAAGAAGTAAAGAAGACTGTGGCAGGTGTAACACTGCTGAGTCCCACGCCACAGAGCTTGTTGGTTGGGGTGAAGAGTGAGAGATAAGTAGGTCAGACCTGAGAATAAGCCAGATTTAGGATTTGGGCACCTGTCAGATGGTGGTAGTATGCTTCAAAAACGGAAGCCACCAAGAAGGGGCAGCAGGTTTATAGAGATTGCTGCTGAGATGGATTTTGGATGTGTCTTGTGTGAACTAGTATTGAGATCTTTGCATGGACATAGATTCCTACAAAGCAATGGGTTTGAAAATCTGAAACTGGAGTTAGGGTATTTTTTTTTTTTACCAGACAGAAGTGATATCAGTGTATATATCACAGGGGAGTTATACAAACACAATGAATGCTAGTGAGCTTATCTGTCCACAGAGGGACTCATCTACCTCTTGTCTTTCTTTTCCAGTGTTTACCAGCTAGTTGTTAAAGAGGAGCGTCTTCAGAAGTCCCGGAGAGCAGCTGACATCATCGAGTGTTTCTCTGTACCTGTGAGCTACCGGAATGCCTCCAACCTTGATTCTCTCCACTACTTTGCTGCCGAGCTGAAGCCCGCCAACCTGCCTGTCACTCAGCCATTTACAGTGGGAGACAACAAGACTTACAATGGCTACTGGAACCCTCCCCTCTCCCCATTGAAGAGCTACAGCATCTACTTCCAGGCACTCAGCAAAGCAAATGGAGTAAGTAGGTCATTACTTCCTTGGTTTGGATTTCCCCCCTTCTCAAGTGTGAAGTCTGTGAGACTTTACAGAAGTTAATAAACTGAGGCCCATGAGCAAAGTCCAGACCTCATGTCTTTTAAGCTGTGGAAATAAGGTTGATTTTTTTTTTAATTACTTGATCTTTGGTTTTGGTTTTTAGTGCCACATTGCCTATTCGTTTGCATAGTACTGATGTTTGCTTTGATGCTTAAGAGTAAAGTTGGGGAGTTGCAATAGATACTCTATAGTCACAAGGCCTAAAGCATTTATTCGTATGTCTTCTATGGAAAAACATTTGTAAACTTGTATTGAAGTATGGAAAAGGTGCTACACTTGAGAAAAATCACTAGGCCTGAGTTGTGATTCCTTTATCTGTAGTACTGATGTCTATAAGTGTTTGGATGTAGAAGGAATGTGTTTCAGTTCACCTTTGCAATCATTCCTCTTATCATGGCCGTGAGTCACATTCAAAACAAAATTTTATCTTAAAAACAAAGTGGCTGTTTTTGTCGCAAGTGTTCCCTTGGTCTGGTAGTTGTATCAATCAACATCACACATTCACAAGTCTGGGAACATCACAAAAGCATCCATCACTTTTCTACTCATCCCCACCCACCCCTGCATAGTACACACTTCAGTTACCATTGCCACATTATGATCAGCACTTATCAGTGCTTATTTTGAATGCCCTCAATGACAGAGAACTTACTTTGCTCATTTGGGAGTGGCAACGTGGGGTTCGTGACGCTAAGAAAACTTTGTAATGTGTAATTACTTAATATTTCTTTGACAGTAGCTTCTCCCCAGTGTTCTTCGATTATACTTTGGGGGGTTTGTAGAACCAATATAGTCGCCTTTAGGGTGTATGTTTCTATTGCATACAATCTTTACGGCAACCCACTTACTGATTCTTAAATCATACCCATCTGGTCTTCTTATCTGCTAATACTTCTTAGAACTTAGTATTTTCCCATTCAGGGTACTTTCATAGACATATCCCAGGCTTTCATAATGTATTCATCAACATATGATGACCACTATGGTGTTAATCCCTGTGGTTCATATTGCAGTTAGTATGTGCCCTACAGCAGATTATGGATATAGGAAGAAGCCTGGAGTATGCCACATCATGAACTGAGTCTGCAGAAGTGACAGCTCACTGCAAATAAGGATTGAGACCAAAACAAGATTGGTGGCATGTACGTAGAACAGTTTAGTCTGTTGGTGGCAATCACTGCCTGAGGGGAAAAAACCCTGGACTGAGGAACTAATTAACATTTAGAGTGTCCACATGCCCATTTAAATTCCACTTTGATATTTCAGTTCTGCATTTATTACTGGTTCAAGCAACACTTCTCACTGAGAATATAAAGCTTCAAAGAGAAGCTTCCAGACTGCCTTCTACCTGTCCATCTGGTCCCTACTCTGCACGAAGCACTCTGATGTATTGAGCATGAAGACATAAACATGGACCAAAGCATCTGGGGGCCCATCTTGCTTTCAGATCCTTGAATCCCATGCTGGCCTCTGCACTGCTTCAGCAAAACTCTCTGATAATGTGTGGCTTTCTCGGCTCTCAGCACATAGGGAGAAATAGGGTTGTGTTTCCTCTCTGCTAACAAGGATGAGATGCCTATGCCCTGTCTCACATTACCATATCCCCACACACATACTTCTCAGAGAGCTATCAGTGCACCAAGACTACTGGAGACTAATTATCCCAGGTGTTTTACTAACCCAAGAATGATTGGCCGTGAAAGGGATGACAGGTGACACGAAGCATCTAGCGGATGGTTTTCTCCCCAAATATCACAGCATAGCCCCTTCTCTGGAAGGCATGGGGTTTTGATACATAGAAAAACCATGTCAGGTACTCAAGCTGCCTTGCACTAGGGGCAGTTCCAAGAGGAACAAGGCCGTGAATTACTGTGCCTTCCATTCCACATCATCTGCTCTGCCATTGTGGAATTATAGTTTCTAGCCAAGACAGCAGGAAGAGAATTGGATGCATGCTTATGCAAGATTGTCTGAGGGTGCAGTTGGACTCACAAAAACAGAGAAAGGAAAAGCAGTTCGATGTGGGCACTCAGACTGAATTTTTTCTGGCAAAGAAGGCACACACTGCTTAAAATTACTGTCTTTAGTATTAAGTTGTACCGAAAAAAAAAATGAGCAAAAAGGTCATAGGAACAGAACAGCTATTCCCACTCTAACAAATCTCTGCCTGGCTCCTTTCCTACTCTGTGTATCATAGAGGCCAAAGGACAATGCAGTTAAACCAGGAGGGCTTTGGAGAGTGATCAGCCACAACCTCCAACCAGCCACAGTCATTGTTCTTGGGCAGATACATCAGAAAGACTGTTCCTTGGTACACAGAGCCACCTCCATGCCCTGCTTCTAATAAATCATTCAAAGAACAATTGACTAGCAATGAATCAACACAAAGAAGCCAAGAATAGAGAAGAATGGAATAAAAGACCCACAATGAGCAGGAAACTAATTAGACACTGCATTAATGCTAAATAACCATTGCAAATACTCTGCAAAACAGAAGGTTAATGTAAAAAAACAATTACTTAAAGAGGAGATGCACAATGTAAAAATTAACAATTGTGATTTGGGTCCAAATTTCACTGTCATGTTAGTAAGAAACTGAAGAAGGGTTGGGGACTGAAATATGTGAGCAAAACTCTAATTTTCTCATGTAAGGCAAAAGCAAAAAAAAAAAAAAACTACCATTTAACTCTAGATACTGGGAATTTTTGAAGTATAGCTTGGAAACACACAGATGGCCTTCCAATAATAGCAAATGAAATATTAACAATATACAAAGAAATACAGGAAAGACAAAGGAAATTATAAAGAAACATGAAAATCAGCAACTTGTATGGAGGAAGAAAACATTAGACTTTGTAATGTAAACAGAAGGTAATGTTATCCTTTCATAAAAGGAGACAATGGCTTTGATAAAGTAAAAAGCAGAACTCAGTAGACCTGCATCCTTTCAATGTTTAAAGAAAACGATGAATCAATGTTGTTTGGAATGAAAGCAAATTGGGAGGGTGTCGTGGATAGGCACTTGTTAAGGAATGGTTGTGGTCCAGGCTGAATAATTTACTATCAGCCCATTTCATCCCTCAATATCCTACCTGCAAGCTTTGTTCAGGACACAGTGAGAGAATTTAGAATCCAGGAATCTCCATTCTGTGGATATTAGGATAGTTTATCAGCTTAACAGATGATGGTAAATCAGCCTTTAAAGTCAGACTGCCTTCATGCAAAACCCTGGTGGCTGTGTGACTTTAATTAAGCTATTAAACACATTAGATACGGTTGATTAATTAAAAGCACATCTATCAAGCACACAGTATTTGTCACAAAGGCAAAAAAAAGTTCTAGAAATCTTCAGTGAGCCCACAAAAGGCTGCCTGCATAATGTTTATATTCTAAAGGGGAAGAAACCAAAATAAATAAGGAAAATAACTTACCAACTGACAAATTACTGGTTTTAGAAGTGTGGATTCATTCGTCAAGTGCTGGCTGGGTATAAAGATAGCTTTAAGTTGTATAGGGGTATATGAGTGGTGTATGTTTTCCCAGAACCAGGCATTCTATAGAAAATTTGAGCATGGCAATACATAAGATTTTTCTTCATGTATTTGTATGAAATTTGAGTTATCCTCTAGTATTTAAATTGAAATTTTGCCTGATTAGTGGTTTAGTGTTTGCTTCTTGATGTGTTGTTGATAATAAAAGCATTTAAAGTTACATCACCATAGTCAGAATTTCCATTTGTTGTAGAGTGGGAGTTGTGCTTCTAAGCCATTTCACCATTGAATGTCATCGCCTAGGCTTCTTGTGAGTCAATCCATATTGTAACCATATGTTTTAGATAAAGCTATATAATGACACTTTAGAGTTGGATAGAGTTGGAAGTGTTGTATAATCTAGACCAGAAGAGAGAAGAAGAAGAAGGAAACATCCAATGAAGCTTTCTCAGCAGGGTGTCCCTGTGATTACTGCAATTCTATGGAATGAAAGTTGGTTGATTCCTTCATGGCACAGGAAAATGATTAGAACATTTTTACTTATATAACAACCAGTTATTTCTTCCTACCTCTTATCTCCTAATCACTTTGGTTGCCTTGAACAAATCAAATCTTTTTCTGTCAACATTTCAGAGGAGGTAATGTGTAGCATCCACTCCCAACTTTGGCCTTGGGATGTAACATGCAACTCCCCTGTCCCTTACATCTCTTTCATCACGGTTTCTTTGTTATCTGGTGTTAGGCTGCTCTCTTCCAAAGACTTCTTTAAAAGAGGCTTCCCAAACCAATACAAAGTCTGGATACATTTTAATTACTTCTATCTTGAACATTTCCTAAGAAATTATCATATATTTCAAGATATATTTCTCACTTTGAAGCCTTGATAAAGGCCGGATCTCTCTTTTACTGTCTGTACAGGATCTTGATTTTAGGCTTAGGTTTCAATGACCAGTCCTCTCAGTCAGGTCACCTAGAATCCCACAACAGTATTAATATCCTAATTTCTTTCATAATTCTGGTTATTTTAAATTTCCATGTATTTTTGTATACCGTGTGCCTTTCCAGGTACACTGAGAGGACCCACATTGAAGAACTCTGTCTCAGCTTTTATTGCTATGCTGCTGCTGTTTGTCTTATTTGGTTGTTCTTATGTTTTGGGGTTTTGTTTGGAGATTTTTTGTGCTGTATTTCCTATACTGTGTTCAATCTTAAACCTAGATTAGGCACTCAAAGTCATTAGTTGATTAATTAATACAGTATGATTTTTTTTAATATAACTGAGTCTCAGTTTCCTCATTTATGAGTTGAATTGGTAATCCATGCTTAATAGTCATTTCATGGGATGGCTAAGAAAAAAAAAGATCTTGATAATAAAAGGCATTTAAAGTTATGTCACTATAGTTGGAATTTCCATTTGTTGTAGACTGAGAT